GAAGACTATAATTCTTTGCCCAGAACAATGGGCTATTACCAGCTTTCACTATAACAAGAGGTTTCCAAATGCATAGGTATGGATGCTTCAAAAATCAATTTTTAATTAAAAATAAATAACCTCAACTTTGAAATCTAAGGCTACTTCAGTGTTCATGTAGCATATGAATCTAGAGATATGAATAACAGATTCATTTATCTTCTGCTGATAAACTAAATAATCTATGTGCAATTTTTTCCTTTCCTTTCTTTCCCTACTCTTTGTATTCTAATCACTGCTTTCTGTTTAGCAGCTGTGCTTCCTGCTGTCCCTTCACAGCATCTGATGAAGCCCTCTCCTTCCAAAAGCTTATGCTATACATCTGATTTAGTGAAGTCTGTAAAGGTGCAAATCTACCCTGCCTTCTGCCTAGAATCTAAAACATCAGCCATGCTGTATTGTTGACAGTTCTTTGGTAAAACTTCAATGAGGGAGTCCAAATTTCCTACACTTCCACAGAAAATTGGTCAAACAAATTATGACAAATGGCCAAAATCTTATAATACAATAAAGCTGAGCTAGACTGATTAGCTGAGCTAGACTGATTAGTTGAGTCTAGACTGATTAGTGTCCAATAAATTGTAGCCGTAGGCAGTATATAGAAAACCAACTTAACTGCTTTACCTCTAGATAAATAATCAGCTAGGAGACAAAAATAAAGAATGAACAAATATTTCAGAAGGTTTGTTGGCATCTGTGGAGAATGAAGGAGGTAGCCCTATTATTTTTATGACCATTAGGTGACTAAGTTTACCGGCTCAGGTTTGCTCTGCTTCCCATCTGGATTCAAAGGGATAAGTCAAACTGGAGCTGCTGCCTGGCTCTATGTGGGAACTGCAGACAATGAGTCCAAGATAAGCCACATCACTGTATCCCAGAGCTGATCCAGCTGCATCCCTTTGAAGCTTTGCCTCCAGTCAAAGTCTAGATGACTACTTGAAGGGAGGAGGAATACCTCCTAGGGAGACTTCTCAGAGGGAAAACGAAGAGGCTTGGAAGGGAGGGAATCCGAAACAAAGCCATCTGAGCTGATAAAAGGCAGGCCGTCTCACTGTGGGATGCACACAAGACATCTTGAGGGATGGTAGTCTGCTTCTCTCATCCCAAAGATGAAGGTCAGTGGTCTGAGTCAGTCTCATCCAAGCCGACAAAGATAAAGTAAGGTTTAAGCCAGGAGAGAACTGCACGCAGACTTTTACTGCTTTTTCATTATCCTCTGCTTGCCATATACCACCGGGGGAATAAACAATGCCACGTTTGAATCACTGATTACAAACTGACAGATTAAAGGGCTTTACAGGTGCTAAACCCAGCTGGATCTGTCTGGTACAGATGGTAGGGGCTGCAGTGCATGGACCCAATCTAAGAACAGGAGGATCACATGGTTCCAGCCCAGGAAACGATAAATGTAGTGAAATTTTATACCAAAGAAAACCATGTGTAATGTGACAGCGTGCAGGCACTATAAAAGCAATGCTTGTGAAGCAAAGCAGTAGAATTGCTTAAAGCCTTCAAATTACCACCAGAAATCCAGAGCCAAGCAGTGACTCTGCAGTAGCACATCTGAGTTTTGCAGGGTAGCATTAATACCATATGACTTAGGAATCCTTGCCCAAAGCCATGCTGGATCACCCAGTTGGGCTTTCTCCATTAGTTAACAGGCATAGACCAAATCTGCAAAAATGCACAGCTTCAAACTCAGGGGTTGGGTATGGAACGAGGCCTAAGTTTTGGACTAGCAATCTACTGCTATAAACTTGGGAGAGCACTGCCTTCTAAATTACATCCCATTATAACATACATTGCATGGCCTCACTCATCCCAAATCCTTAATAACCACCTCGGGTTACAAAATCTAAGTATTTTCTGTGCAAATGCTGTATATGACAAGTTTCCAATACAGGAAAACAGAATTAATTCAGCCTCCATTACATTAATCTGACTAGTTCACATACAAGTAATTCCATGAAGTTTAAACCTCAAACAGAGCCCACAACAGTTATAGTTCAAGTCCTTGCAGCTAAGTATTTTTGGATATACTAAATTCACAACTTGTAATCCCCAATTTCATGCTCTGCAATGCACTGCAATACTTATTATTATTTTTTTTTTTATGTGCACACAAGTCTCCTGGTGTCTGTTGGTCTTTTTGCTCTTAAAGGCATTATTTCCCTCCGCTAAAACACAGATGACGCATCCTAACACTATGGGGGAAAAAGAAAACTCAGTCATGACCAAGCTCTATTAGAATGCTTTCTAACTTGTGTGAAAGATTAGTACTCTGCAAAAGAGTAACGAATATATGTATTTTAAGAGAGGCCCATTTAGGTTGCTGTTCTGACTTACGCCTAACTATTCAGTGCAGAAGAAACTGACCCGAAGAAAGAAATCTACAAAGCAGAAGTGGCAAATTAAACCTTCAAGCATAACCCTCAACCTAAATCTGTCTGCCAGAACACACATTTAGCAAGTCTCTGCAAAAATTCATTCCAGTGCCAATTTGTGGTCAAGTTCAGACTTTTATCCTCAGGTTCCAGGACTCAGGACCCCTCAAGCAGCACTCTCAGAACTTTGTAAAAGTTTTACAGGAAAGGGATGCTGGTAAACATACAAGATTTTCCTCAAGTAGATCTACTTGGAGATGGGCTCCTAGATATCTCATTCCTTGGGGTGCTAAAAATAATTTTGATGTACCATAGAGGTGGTCAACCCCCAGCTCACAGGCCAGATCTGGCCCCCAGCACCGTGTCACCCAGGCCACAGATCCAAAAATTTGGTGGGAGGGGAGCAGTGGCACCAATCCTCCGCTATCACATCTCCAGACTCACAAGAAGCCTCAGGTCTGGCACGCTAGATCAGGCGCACATGGCAGCCCGCGGCTGATCCTAGCACACGGGGCTTGGAGGGAACTGCATGCAGTGCCAGGGCCTGACCCCTGCATGTGGAGGTGGGCGGGGTGGTGCCAGGCCTCAGGGCCTGAGCTCAATGCATGGTTCCAGGAGGAGCCAGCATGAAGCGCCAGGGCCCTATCCTAGCATCCAGGCCAGGGGGCCTGATCCTAGCATGTAGGCCAGGTGGAGGCAGCATGGGGCCCTCCAGGGGTGTGAGGCTGGGAGGAGGCAGCGTGGCACCAAATCTTAGTACTCAGGGCTCAATCCAGCCTGGGGACCAGCTCCATGACACTCATTTGCTACAACAGATCAAAATTGGAGAGAGTGCAGTAGAGGGCAATGAAAACGGTTAGGGGCCTGAGCCACATGACTTGTGAGGAGAGGCTGATGGAACTGGGCTTGTTTAATCTGAAGAAGAGAAGATCGAGGGGGGATTGAATTGCAGCCTTCAACTCCCTGCAGGGGGGCTGCAAAAAGACTGGAGCTGGACTGTTCTCAATGGTGGCTGATGAGCAATGGACTCAAGTTGCAGCAAGGGAAGTTTAGGTTAGATTTGGGGAAAAACGTTCTCACTCGGAGGGTAATAAAGCACTGGAACAGGTTATCCAGAGAGGTTGTGGACTCTCCATCCTTGGAGGTTTTAGGACCTGGCTGGACAAAGCCATGGCTGGGGTGACCCAGGCGGGGATGGTTCTGCTTTAGCAGGGGGTTGGACTAGATGACCTCCTGAGGTCCCTTCCAACCCTCATTTTCTATGATTTTCTAGGAATCAAAAAACAGAGACAAAAAAAAGTCTTCAGGGATGAACAGTATGCCAATGTAGCCCACATTGTAAAAGAGGAGATGGTATACATAATGCCTAGTACTATAGTTTGATATTTGAGAAGCCCTTATAATGTTGAATCAGTTGGTTTTCACCATATGTTGTTAAAACAGATTTGCTCAAGGTCTGGACAAAACATGGGGCTGAAACCTGTTTGTGAAGGAATCAGTGTCCTCTTTTCTTTAGCTAGAAGCTGAAAACCTGCTGCTCAAATCTGAGCGACAGCATTAATAGAGGAAGTCCAAACTTGGCATTATTATTTCTACAAGAGAACCTGGAGAGCAGGGAGTGTGCGTGTACGAGCACAGCTATCTCCCATTCTGGCCTCCTTTTCTGTCATATAAAAAAGCAAAAAGAGAGCAAGCCACAACAGTTTCTTTTCCTTTGCAGGTCGTCTTTAATGCTAGCAGTTTCCTCTCGTCTCCTGGATAAACAGCCTGAATGATTCTGCAGGTACAACAGCAAAACAAAGACAGTTCAGAACCTTTGACTTCAGTCCTCAGGGTGCAATATTTATATCCCAGCTAAACAAAACCAAACCCCAAGGTTTTACTGGCAGTAGATGGTGAGAAATCAAAGCCACACATCCAAACCTCTGGTTGGGTCTGATCTTCAGTCCTGCGGCAACTGAATGAGGAGTCCTGCTTGCTCCAAGATAATCCTTCCCTTTTTCTCCTACGGAGTCCTTCTTCCTGTGGAGTCTGATTTGTCTGCTATCTCTGGCCCTGCTGTAGCTGCTTCGTCTGAGAACCTACCATGAAAGCTACACCAAAGAGTTGCTTTGTCACAGTAGCCTTGTCGTAAGAGACTGAAATCTCCATTAAAATGCACTAGCTCTCTCATGGAAATTACATATAAGCAGCCTTAACAGCACTAGGGAATCCCCCAAGCTGCTAACTCCCAGTTTGCCCATGATGCAGTACACTCTTCTTCATCTATTCGTTCCTCCCACATCTCCCCCTCTGCCCACTGTCATTTTAACTAAGGTCAGGCAAATGTTATATCTTTTTAAATTAGACGGGGAAAACCAAAGCCAAGCTCAAACAACCCAAGCTATACTCGCTGGCTCACTGTCTGCTGTGTGAATGAATCTGACATATGGGATATATGCATCTTCATCAGTCACTAACACCTATTTAGAATTCAAAACTGCCCTCCAACCTGCACACATGCATCTGTTATTGCTGCCACTTTTTCCTATGGAAAGTACTGAACTGTGAAATTAACTTTATGGAAGTTCTTACTTTAAATAAATCCACTTCCCACCTCATTGGTAGATTCTTTGACTTAAAAATGTTGTCATGCAACTATTCAAATCACTACTGGCTTGAAAGAGATTCTCTAATGCTTTGTTCCTTCAGAGCCAAGAAAGAGCAAGAGATACACAATCTGTCAAAAGGTTGTGTATAGCTTGGCAATTATAGCAATGGAAATGATCTACTATGAAGGCTAATCAACATCTTGCCTAAATAGGGAAGGATGAGAATTCAAAAATGGACAGAGGCACCCTGATATTTTAAAAATAAAAAGGATGCCCACAAATACATTTTAATGCCTGCTATCACTTGTTAGAACTTTAAAAAAATATGTATTTTTCTATCTGCATTTCTAGACTGCAGGTTGCATAGTTGCTTCTATTTGCTTCTTTATTTGTACCTCCAGCCTCAATAGCTAAAGGAATATTCCCAACCTTAGTAAAGTCTATGGCAGGTTACTGTAGCCAGTACAGGAAAGCACAGACATTGGTCCCTTAATGAAGCCAAGATATTTTGTCCAATTTAGCCTTTCCAACAAAACCTTGTGATGTGTTAAACACTCCATTTTAATAAATGGTGAGATCAGCAAGGAAGAGAAGGGAATTTCTAGTTTTCTATCACAAAAATTTATTTCCTTTAAACTGCATGAACAAATGCTGAGGTCATTTGTCCTATAAACAGAGGACACAAAAATATCCTGAATGGTATGGATGCAACTGTCTGGCAAAAAGCAGCATTATTAAACCATAACAAAATTAAACAGACAAACTAAATATCAGATATTTCATTTGTAAAAGATGCTTGTTTTATTTCAGTAGCTAAACAACTAATTTACAAAGGTTAAAATTACTTTTTTTTTGCTCAGTTATAACAGCAGCAATTTCCAAATACACACTGTGAAAATTCAAAATAAGAAACCTCTGGATGCCCTTGTTCATCTGTAAAGGGCTCACAGTAACACCGAAGGTTGCTGTGTCACTTTCCTTGTACATAGTGCCTTCCTAGCATCATTATTCATTTAAGGTAGGGTCTTTCTCTTTCTTCCCCTCTGCCCCCCAATAATGCCATGTATATCTCTGGCTGAAGAAAATGTTCACAATTTTGGCTGCTTAAAAACTGTTAGCTTATATGAATTTCTTATTAATTTAAAGTAATACTCTATTGGAATGGTTAAACATACCCTAAAATAGTTATGCTCAGGCCCCAGAAAATTTTCCAGGGTTAGTTTGCTGGTGAACTATTGTAAAGGGTGTTCTGATGAATCAGTCCATTTCCAAAGTTCAAATTAAAGCCTGAACTCTATAAAAAGTTTTCTCTTCCTTCCCTCAGGGACTAGAGTTGGACTACCATTGCTCCTCATGCTGTAAATCAAACAGAGAGATGGCATTCAATGTTTACCCAGCCAGGTTATCAGAGCAATGCTCATCCTTGAATATAAACATGGTTCATCCTACAGTGAAAAGGTACCTTCTTTTTTTGTCTGCTTCTTTGAAAGAAATGTTCCGGTTACAATTGAAGGGTGCAAGAAATGCCATATTGTCATGTCTAATCATGTAAAGTGTCCAGGATTCCTTTGCAAAAGTTTTTGAGACAGAAACCTGGAAGGTTTAATATTTTCTGGCACTAAATCATCATTTTTAATGCACACATTCAATATACAAGTGGAACCCAAACCCACGCCTTTTCCATTCTAAATTCAACAAGAAGCATATTTACCACATTTCACTTTTGAAGCAGTTTAAATATAATGTATGTTGTGCAAAATAGGTAAGGTATGAGCTGATCAGACAGCCTAAACAAAGCAGAAACAGAACAGAAATGCACTGGAAGTACGCTACCCTGCGAAAGATGTTAGCAACGGGCAGGTTTCAAATAATTCCGCAAAATTATATGTTACTTGTGGCATATTGGTCCTAGTAACCCAGGGAACTCCCTTCAAATACTGCATCATAGTTGGACCGAATCTTCTAGCCTGCTGCAGCATGAGTGGTGCAAAGGACTAACATTACACATATGCTGAGCCCAGTACTGGAAGCAACTTTAGCAGATGAGGTTAACTTAAAAGGGAGTTACTTATGTGTAGATAACCTGAACTGTTGGCTCAGTGAAGACAAGCCCTGAAATGTGCCATTACAACAGACAGGTTAGTTGCTTCTGGCTTGCCATCAGACATGATCGTGATAGCCTATGTGAAGAGCAGTCAAATAACGATGAGGAGCACAGGTGTGCTATTTGACAGCGAATATAAGAGTTCTGCTCTGACAAAGTCGAACAGAAAGGACTTCCACAAAACCTTTGATAGGTTTGAAAGCAACTGTTCAAGTTATTCCCTCATCAGTGGTTATCAAATTAAGTTTACTGCAGTTTACTTTCAGAAAGCCATTCTGGGCATTGAATGTGATCATTTCTGAATGTGGTCATTTTTTAATGTGATCCTCTTACTGCAATGTGCAAAGATGATGGGAAACCTAAATACTGGGGAGAAGTGGCCGCTACAGACAGTCAAAAAAAGCAAAGGAAATTTTCTGCTAATTTACTGTTTCCCATATGGCAGAAGTAATGCATTTATCAATTCATTTGAGGACTGAATATTTTAGGATCGGTTAATTAGTTTATGCAACAATTATCCAGCTAGACAGTGTCTGGAGTTCCAAGATTAGATGTCCACGTAATATTTTTATGTGATACGTATTTTTGGGATAGCATTAATATAACTTCAAGCATTTTTTTTTATTGATGCAAAACACTTTACATGCTATAAAGCAGTACCAAAAAAAAGGCTATTAAAAATTAGAAAGCATAAATCCATTTTAAATGCATTCCATGGGGTGTCACATTTCAAATATGAACCCGGTATTTGTTTCCAAATCAGAATTAAAATTTAAACCAGTGCTAAAAGTTCTGTGCTATAGCAGCATGTGTTTCCACTCCACCTTCTCATCTAATAAAGCTAGTTTCAGTAGCATCAGACCAAAAAAGCACCCCAGAAAAGCAGCACATTCACTAACGATTTTCAAGTATTAATGCAGTCCTCAACATCTTCCTGTTATCTCTAGTTAGGCCCATGTGCACAGTTGCTCATGCATAGTTTATGAAACAGCAAGGGAAAAAGAAATGCTTCTGGTAGCTTGTCTACAGAACCAGAAATAATTTCCAGGCCACTGTTCATTTCCCCTTGCCACCTTTACACTGAAGCCCTGCTGCAATATTTATTCCTCTCATGCTTTTCATTCCCACGTCATATTGCTTCGTGTCACACAGCTGCAAAAACCACCTGCTACTGCTCTGTAGCTATTGTTTTTGCCGCCTCCCCCACTCCTCATCATTCTTTCTGAAAAGGATTTGCTCATTCTGTTATAAAGACTCTCCCCTCTGCCTTTTTGCAACCCGGCAAATGGGAATCCCAGGTGGCTCTCGCTAATTATCCATGTGCTTTTGGAGTCTAATTCTTCCTATTGTTAATGTAGCAGTCTTTAGCCACAAAGTCACTTCATATGCTAATCGGAGACAGGCTGATCCCCAGCTAATACCTCAGTCTACTCATGAGTATTGATCTTTTGGGGGTACTAATGATAACAGAACAAGATGAACTGTCAAATAGCACAGAAAACTTGCTAAATCTCTTTCTCTCTCAGTCCATCCTCATAATAGAAAACCCTCCTGAAGATGTGAATGCAGCAGTTGGACAGGCTGAGTGCAGCTTCTTCATAAAGCAGCAAGAAACAGACTGGAAAATTGAGTTTCTTTGTACAATGGGAAGAGACAATCCAACAGCGGGTTAGTCTAAACTTTACCAAACACAGAATAATTTAGGAATTACTGGTGTTGTTATCTAACGGGATTTATTTAACAGACCCAGTAAATCTCAAATCCGAGGCCAGCTGGTTATTTAATTCTGTAAAGATTAATTATGGACTATCAGCATTTCAATCGGCAAGCTAACCAGGTATATGATATACCCACAGTATAGTCTGCCTAATCTATATTAGGCTCCTTCACAAAGTAAGCACACATCACTGATTGTAAGAGCACCGAGCTCGCTGTCAGCTATGAAGCAGTCTGCCCCCAAATCACGTCACAGACATGCACTGGCAGCTGTGGGGATGGTTCTCTGGTGAGCATCCAGAAGAGAAGGACCAACAAGCTTGGGATTTCTCCAGCCTGCAGCAATTCTAGAAATCAGTTTTAATTAAAGAGAAATTTGCTGGGTAGTACAATAGTGACTCAGCTAAAACTGCCTTGTAAACTTCATAATTAAGAAGAAAATATCTGGTGAACAGGATATTTAACACCCAGTTTTAAGAACAGAACAGCTTGCAGGGCCAGTGAGGTCCATCCACTCTGAGCAGAACTGGCAAGAGGTTCTTCAAGAATTGCTTCCCAAAGTTTGACATTAATATATACAAGGATATTTAATTTAATTTTGCCTAAAACAAAAGCTAGGGATATTTTTCAAAGTATTCCAACTAATGAATTACCAGCAAAGGTCTCCTTTATAAGAAATTCGTTTTGCAGCTGTGCATTCTGCATACTTAATGGTGCCAATGTCAGGCTGGTGATTCTGCTGCTGCTGTTGCTTGCTGCACAGTTCAGCCAGCTCAGACAAACCAGTGCACTGAGCCAATGACTCAAATGCCACATGAGGTCACTTCTCAACTCTTCAGGACAAAGCAGGGAAATAACCTGAAGTGCATGACTTTGCCAGGAAATTAAAAAAAAACAAAACAAAACACATAACCCTGGAATGATGGCTCTTGTACAAGCTAGCAATATAGGAACCTCATGAGAAACCACAGACAAAGATGCACGATACCACCTACATCAATGTATTTTAGAGCAGCGTACCCTAAAATAGTTGTTAGCAATATTCTGATTATGAGGGATCCTATGGCAATCCTTCCTGTGCCTCCTTTGATAAATTCCCTAATGGTTAACACACAAACTTACGTATATTTCCAAGCTATTCCTTGGCTTCAAGGAATACCATTTCATCTTTGTTAGATATAGTACCAGAAAGCTTCATTGCCAAGCAGTAGGTTTAATAACCATTTCAGCATGTCATTATTGTATATTAAAAAACCCCAAAACTATACTTCCCATGACCTAGCTGAGTGTATCCTAGGAGACAGGGGAGGAGAGGAGAAGGGGCAAAAAGCAAGTTAGGATGGGGGTGAGGGGGGGTGTTCAGGCAGTTTTCTAAAAAGGTAAAAAGCTTGGTTAGTTTAAACAGAATTTTGTACATAAAAAGAATTAATCTATAGGCTTGTGATGCTTTCTGCTCATTATCAGCATAAGCCTCATTTTCAGAGCCAATATGAGTGGACACCTAACTTTACTCTCTGACTCATCTATCTACCTCGGAAAATGAAACAGATTCACTAACGTCTATTATGGATCGATAAAGACTCGATGTTTGAAGAAACGAGCATTAGAAAACGAAAGAAATGGGAACATCCAGATAACTGCAGCATTTCAGTCTGCACAAAGGCTCTTTCACAGATTTGAAATTGCAAGTAGATGAGTCAGTGTGAAAATGTGATAGGAAAGAGTCAGAAACAGGTATATATTTAGCAGCAGGTTGGGGATAGAGAGAAAAGGCTCAAGGACAATGGCAGTATTTTTTTTTCAGTTAAACCCTCCAATGTATTTTTGTGAAAGAAACCAAGTCATTTGCTTTTAACTGTAGCCCAAAACTACATTACATCTCTTGGGTGCTTTGATTCTTTTTCTTCTTTTTAAATCTCAGCGTAGAGACAGCTCTAGGGCTCAGTAGGAGAAATTATTAAAAGCATGCCTGCAGAAGTAAAAAGATCAGTCATTTCCCTTATCCCCTGTGTTTCACGAGTGCTTCTCCCCCACCCCGTGCAGTGTAGTATGAGATTCCATGCAACCAGAAACGTCCCTTTTAACAGACTGAAAAATTAAATCTTTTAAAAGTCAGCAAAACATTCCTTCCAAACAGAAAGAGCAACAGTATGCAAAAATGTTTTGTTATTCAGAAAGGTCATCTGCACCTTCAGAGTTTATCAAACCAACTTTCAGTTGTCCTATAGGAATCATTTCTTTGTGTAACTGGCAATATGGTTCCTACATAATATGTCAGAATTTCATTAGAAAAAGACAAAAAAAAAAAAAAAAAAAAAAA